GGAACACTGTTCCAGAAAAGGGCCAGTGTAGACAGCCCAGTAGTCTTTTCTGGAAAAAAGCCCCGATCGCGAAAATGATGCTCGGGGCTCTTTTCCGGAAAAGCGCGTCTACATTGGCCACAGACGCTTTTCCGGAAAAGGGCTTTTCCGGAAAAGCAGCCTGCCAATGTAGTCGCTCCTTTTCCGGAAAAACTTAAAACGGAATACTATTCCGTTTTAAGCAGTTCCGGAAATTCATGCCAGTGTAGACGTAGCCTGGGTGACTCAGTGAGAATCTCCCATCACAGCGCAGGGGGACACAGAGCAGACAGCCCCCCCACTACGCCACACAGGCAAAGTGAGCCCAGGTGCCGTTCTAACCTTGGGACCCCTCCACCCCACCCCCCCAAGCATTACAAATCTGACTTGTGGCACCCATGACTAATCTGGGTGTCTGGAAGCTGCAGGGGGCAGCCGAGTTAGTCTGTAACAGGATAAACGTAAAAAACAACAAATGGCCTGGTAGCACTGTATAGACTAACGAAACACGTCGATCAGTGTTTCTTACACCGTGTTCCGTGCACACTGGCGTGCTGCAAGGCAGTCGGAGGTGTGCCGCGGAGAACAGAGTTCAAAATGGCTGCCCTTAAAGGGGCCGGCAACCTTTTTTCTCAATAACTTTCCCCCAACACTTTGGTTTTTTCTCAACCAAAAGTCCTTGGTGTTCCTCATTTTTAAAAAATGTTTGGTGTTCCTCGGTCTTAAAAAGTTGAAGACATTCTGATGTAGACGGTATTATGAGCTTTCTTGGGCACAGCCCGCTTTTTCAGATGACTGGAGTTTGGAGTTTAGGATGTGCTGAGCCAAAGCAAATAGGAGAGAGTGGGGAAGGGAAAAAAAGGAAGCAGGGCAGGAAACATGGAACAGAGGGTATGAAAATATCAAAGGGAAAAACAGGTAGGTAGGACTGGTAACCTATAAGCACCTAAAGACTGGCTAGTTAAAAGAAGCAGATAAGGATCATAGGACAGCAATTGGATAGGAGGGGTGTCTGATGAGCACAAATCACCTGTACAAACTGCATGGCCCTTTAAAGAGGACTCAGGGTGGGACCCACTGTACAGGTTTTCTTGCTACTCAGTGCAGGATTTGAATCTAGAAAGGATGGGTTCTGCTGGGTAGTCCATGGTGGTAGTGGACTAGGAGATCATTGGGTTCCAAGCCTAGTTTTGCCATTGACCTGATGATCACTGTCGGCAAGTCTCTGCTCTTCACTGTGTCTGAGCGTCCCCATGTGTAACCCTCCCTTGCAAAGTGCAGGGAGCTCTAGCGGAGCGTGAGGGTTCAGCGTTCTTGTGCTGTAGCCATTGATCCAGTATCCGCATATTTAGAGAAGACCAGAAACTAGCGGCATCGGCTGGGGAGAGCGAGGTGCTGCAAAGCATGCACTTCCATGACTCGTACTACCCAGTGCATGCGATGGCCAAATGAAATGAATGGGTAGCAGGTTTAAAACTAATAAAAGAAAGTTCTTCCTCAGACAGCGTGTAGTCAACCTGTGGAACTCCTTGCCAGAGGAGGCTGTGAAGGCTAGGACTATAACAGAGTTTAGAGAAGCTAGATAATTTCATGGAGGTTAGGTCCATAAAAGGCTATTAGCCAGGGGATAAAATGGTGTCCTTGGCCTCTGTTTGTCAGAGGCTGGAGAGGGATGGCAGGAGACAAATCGCTTGATCATTGTCTTCGGTCCACCCTCTCTGGGGCACCTGGTGCTGGCCACTGTCGGCAGACAGGCTACTGGGCTAGATGGACCTTTGGTCTGACCCAGTACGGCCGTTCTTATGTTCTTATGTACATTCTGTGGGGAGGAGAGTTGCAGTGAGTCTAGGGATGAAAGGAAATCCCCGGAGACTGGCTTAGATCGGTGCAGTGTTGCTCCTAAGGCTTTTACTCCCAGTGGCCACAAAGGCCAGTCCGAGTAGCCCGTGGCTGCTCTCCCTCCCTTCTCTGAGCTTTCCCACAAGCCCCACTTTCAATAGCAAATGGAAATCAGCTGCAGCCCAAACAAGGTGTTCTGGGGAGAGGTCAGACTGGAAAGGCCAAGGAAGAGATGGCAAACCTGGATAAAAAGCCAGGTCACTAAGCCTTTGCCTGGAAAGGTCGCCCTCTTGAATGAACACACCTGGGTAGGGGATGGGGTCAGGGTAGACCAGGGGTCTCCAACCTTTTAAGCACAAGATCACTTTTGAATTTGTCAGTCCAGGATCTACCTCAAACCCAGATGCCCTGCCCCTTCTCTGAGGCCTTGCTCCACCCCTCTGACAAGGCCCCGCCCTCCACTCTGTGAAGACAGGGTACGGGGAGGAGGACAGAGTGACATCAGTGCCCCCCTGCCTCTGTCTCCCCCACCCAGTACAACAAGCAGGAGGCTCCCAGGGTGCAGCTTTGAGGTTCTGGGCTGGAGCAGCAGGGCAGGAAGGGAGAGGCAGGTGACATGCAGACACTTGACAGCCTCCCAGCCAAACCAGTCGGGATCACCTGTCAGAGGCTCCAAGATCTACCGGTAGATCCCGATCGACTGGTTGGTGACCCCTGGGATAGAATTAACCACTGAGCAATATCGGAGGCTACCATCACTTCCAGCTGCGTGGTGTCTGCACAAGTCAGTAGCTTCCCCCATAGCTCTTGACTGCCCAGTGTTCATCTTCCTACTCTGTGTGTCTTCTGAGTGGAGTTAGAGACCTGTTCTACCCAGGAAATGTACAATGGGGACAGCGTGTTATCTGGGATCTGAACCCATTTCACACTATTTGTGGCCTATTAAACCAGGGTATGTCTACACTACCACTCTAGTTCGAACTAGGGTGGTTAATATAGTCATTCGAAGTTGCAAATGAAGCCCGGGATTTAAATATCCCGGGCTTCATTTGCATTTTGCCGGGCGCCGCCATTTTTAAATCCCCGTTAGTGCGGACTCCGTGCCCGTGGCTACACGTGGCACGGAGTAGGTAGTTCGAATTAGGCTTTCTAATTTGAACTACCGTTACTCCTCGTGGAACAAGGTGTACCGGTAGTTTGGATTAGGAGCCTAATCCGAACTACCTACTCCGTGCCGGGTGTAGCCGCGGGCACAAAGTCCGAACTACTGGGGCTTTAAAAATGGCGGTGCCCGGCAAAATGCAAATGAAGCCCGGGATGTTTAAATCCCGGGCTTCATTTGCAACTTCGAATGACTATATTAACCACCCTAGTTCGAACTAGTGGGCTAGTGTAGACATACCCCCACATATTAAAAGGGAACATCACTGCTGAGTAACTTAGGCCTAAAAAAAACTTGACCTGGTTTAAAACTGTCATCGTCCAGGGAGGGAGCGTCCATGAGCCAAGCACAGGCGTGGGGTGACTTCACTAAGGTCAGTTTTGTTCAACAGTTTGAACGCCCTGCTGTTAGTCCCCTACCTTCTCCATAAGCACTGGCAGGACATGCCTGATTTTTCTGCGCCGCCTTTGTGGGTTTAGAAACAGAGGCTTTTGGAAATTTGCTGTGTTCTTTCTCAGACTGCTCCTGGTTATTTGGCTGCTTGGACTCCCTGTGCTTGTTCCCCGCTATGTTCTGCTGGACTTCGGCTGCAAGAAGAATTGGGGACACAAAGGAAAGAGTAGACTCTTCAGCTCTTTCGTGCAGTGGCACAGGATGCCAGTCTCTTTATTAAGTTTGCAGATGATACCAAACTGGGTGGGGTTGCAACTTCTTTGGAGGATAGGGACATAATTCAAAATGACCTTAGCAAGTTAGAGAAATGGTCGGAGGTAAACAGGATGAGGTTTAATAAGGAGAAATGCAGAGTGCTCCACTTAGGAAGGAACAATCAGTTCCATACATACAAGATGGGAAGCGACTGTCTAGGAAGGAGCATGGCGGAAAGGGATCTAGGGGTCATAGTGGACCACAAGTTGAATATGAGTCAACAGTGTGATGCTGTTGCCAAAAAAGCAAATATGATTCTAGGTTGTATCAACAGGTGTGTTGTAAGCAAAACTCGTGAAGTCATTCTGCCGCTCTATTCTGCACTAGTTAGGCCTCAGCTGGAGTACTGTGTCCAGTTCTGGGCGCCACATTTCAAGAAAGATGTGGAGAAATTGGAAAGGGTACAGAGAAGAGTGACAAGAATGATTAAAGGTCTAGAGAAGCCTATGAAGCCAGGCTTCATGAACTGGGCTTGTTTAGTTTGGAAAAAAGAAGATTAAGGGGGGACATGATAGTGGTTTTCAAATATCTAAAAGGGTGTCACAAGGAGGAAGGAGAAAATTTGTTCCTCTTGGTTTCTGAGGACAGGACATGGAGTAATGGGCTTAAAGTGCAGCAGGGGAGGTTTAGATTGGACATTAGGAAAACATTCCTAACTGTCAGGGTGGTCAAATATTGGAATAAATTGCCAAGGGAGGTGGTGGAATCTCCCTCTCTGGAGATATTTAAGAACAGGTTAGATAGACATCTGTCAGGGATGGTGTAGACGGAGCTTGGTCCTGCCTTGAGGGCGGGGGGCTGGACTCGATGACCTCTTGAGGTCCCTTCCAGTCCTATGATTCTATGATTCTATGATCAATGGTGTAGCTTACATCGAAATAGCTTAATTTGGCTTTTGGCACTGTCTACACAGCAGGAAATTGAAGGAAGAACATTTCCTTCGACTTCCCTTACTCCTCGTGAAAGGGGGGTTACAGGAGTCGGAGTAAGAAGTCCTCCAGCTCAACGTTATTTTGAAATAACGGCTTGCTGAGTGGACACACTCTTTGTTTTTTCTGAATAACACCGGTTATTCCGAAATAATGCTGCTGTGTAGACATAGCTGCAGGTGCCACAGGACTTCTCGGTTTTACTGTTTATAAGGTTCATCTCTGTTTGATCAGCTTGACAGAACGGGATCCAACATGAATTGCTGGACGCGTCTGATCTCTCTTGCGCCTCTTTTCTTTGTGGGGAACACGGAAGCCTTGACCCTGCGGGAGAAAAACGCTTGCTCTCCTCATCGCATGCAAACTTGGGACATACCAGCGCTAGGGAGATGAGGCAGACAGGCACAGAGCTGTGGAAATAGCAGCCCCTTCCCCTACCACCCGGACGTTGCCTGAGCGATTAATTCCCCTCCCTGTTAGCAGTGTGCACCTCGTTCCCAGTCACTGGAGTGTTAGAGCCTTGTCTGATAGACTGAAGAACCTGCTGTTGCCAAATTGTTGTTTCCCATGTAAGTACTTCTCAACTGGGATCAATTCCCCCCCATGAAGCTTCTCTTTGTTAATCTGAATAGAAAGAACTCCTTGGGTCTTTCATGCTGGGACAGGTTTCCAAGCCTTTAATCAGGGCTGGGGAACCTTTCTTGGGTTGGGGGCTGCTGACCCACACAAAACTCAGTCGGGGGGGAGGGGCACCCCCGATGGAGAAGGAGAAAGACCCTCCTCACACTCCCTGTGTACACCAGAGCCTCCTGGGGCCCAGGCTAGTAGATTTTGTGTGCTCCAGTCCCGTAGGAGGGCAGGAGTGGGGCTGGAGCACCTGCATGGGCTGCCCAGTACGGGGGAGCCCTAAGTCTTGGCGGCTATCTCTGGCCCCCGGGCCTTATGTTCCCCACCCCTGCCTCTATTCATTCCTGTGACTCATCTATGAAACTTCTCCAATTTACCAACTCCCTTCTTCAATGGTGGATCCCAGGACCAGACCCAGGATTCCAGCAGTGGTCGTACCAGTACCAAAGGCAATATACCCTCCTTCCTCCTACTTAATATTCCTCCATTTATACATCCAAGGGTTGATTAGCCCTTTTGGCCACAGCGCCTCACTGGAGAGCGTGTTCAGGTGATTACCTGCCTGACCGCACCCGCCATGTCTTTTTCAGAGTCGCTGCTTTCCAGGGTAGAATCCCCATCCAGTAAGCATGGCCTATAATCTGTAACCCTAAGGCTGTGTCTAGACTGGCAAGTTTTCCTGCAAAATCATCTGATTTTGCAGAAAAACTTGCCAGCTATCTACACTGGCCGCTTGAATTTCCGCAAGAACACTGACGATCTCATGTAAGATCGTCAATGTTCTTGCAGAAATACTGTGCTGTTCCCGTTCGGGCAAAAGCCCTCTTGTCCAAATCATTTGCGCAAGAGGGCCAGTGTAAACAGCACAGTACTGTTTTCTGCAAAAAAGCCCTGATCACGAAAATGGCGATTGGGGCTTTTTTGCGGAAAACTGCGTCTAGATTGGCCACGGATGCTTTTCCACAAAAAGTGCTTTTGCAGAAAAGCGTCCTGCCAATCTAGACGCGATTTTTCCAAAAATGCTTTTAACAGAAAACTTTTCCGTTAAAAGCATTTCCGGAAAATCATGCCAGTGTAGACGTAGCCTAGATGTATGCACTTTTGCTGGTCTGTGCCAAAACACATTTGCTTGCGCCCAGCTTTCTAAGCCATCTAGATGATGCTGTATCCGTGACCTGTCCTCTGGTTTTCATTGACCATTTCCCTCAGTCTTGATCAGTGATAATTTTATGTTTTTTTCCAGGTCATTGATAAAAAGGTTATAGGACCAAAAACTGATCCCTGTGAGACCTCACTAAGAACTCAACCATTCCATGATGATTCCCCATTTACCATTATATTTTGAGAACTGTCAGACCATTTTTAGTCCAAATAATGTGCCCCAATGCGCTTCTATTCCACGTCTGGTGGAGTCTGTTCTTGCTGCTGCAGGATTTGGGGGAACCCTGACTCGCCGTCATAGTCCTCCATCCGTTGAACTTTCCAACAAGCTACATTTGTGATAGCAAGTAAGAAACTAGCTACAGCTAAGACACACACTGTTCTGGGGGAGGGCAAAGATTGGGAAGCCCAAGGAAACAATCAGTGTTGTCTTCAAGTCATCATTGTCAAGTCTAAGATGAGTCTCAAGTCACTACAGTTCAAGTCTCAAGTCAAGTCTCGAGTCCCTAAAGTCACTTTCGAGTCGAGTCTCAAGTCTCAATTTAAAAAATGTCAAGTCACTTTTGTACAAGCCATCGATATCGGCATTGTCGGACAATTTTTTCACCAAGTCAATTTAACACAATTAGCAAGTTTCAAGTCGAGTCTCAAGTCACAAACAATGACCCCGAGTCAAGTATCAAGTCGAGTCACCGAGGCGACTTACGTCAGACTCGAGTTCAAGTCGTGGGACTTGAGTCAACAACTCTGGAAACAATACTGAGAAATGGCCAGTAGCCCACAAAGAGGTGGATAAAAAGCCAGGGTGACGAAGCCTTTGACTGGGAAAGGGCATGCTCTGGAATGAGGCAGTTTTGGGGAAAAGAGGAAGACATGGTTCCATTAACCACTGAACCACCTTGAATGGTACCATTGCCTCCTCCTGCTTGGTGTTTAAAGTCCCCGGGTTCCCCAGGCTTCCTGGATGCCTCGCATTCGTTTTCCTATTCAGGGTGTCTTCGGAGGGATTTAACAGGCCTGAGACCGTTTTTATCCAGCTAACTTCCAAGGTGACAGCATGTGAATATCTGTGGTCTGGACCCACCTCACGTCATTTGTGACCCCTTCTGGCCCATTACAAACCACACATTATAAGGGAACAGCGCTGGCGAGTAGATTATGCCTAAAAAAATGACTGCGTTGAAAACTGATGGCTCCTCCATGGGACATTAACCAGCCAAGCACATCCTTGGCAGGGCTCCACTGAGGTCGGTTTGGTTTTGTGGTTGAACACCTCGCTGTTTGTCCCCTACCTTGTCCATAAGAACTGCCAGCTGGCGTCTGATTTTGCTGCTGTCTCTTGGCTAATTTAGAACCAGAGGCTTGGTCATGGCTGGCATGGTCCCATGGAGAACTGTGCTGTTTCTGAGACTGCTCCTGGGAATTTGGCTGTGTGGTCTCCCTTTTCTGGTTACCAGATCTGCTATGGTGCACATCAGCTGCAAGAATTTGGGACACAAAGAAAAGACAAAGTTTGATTACTCTTGTCAGCTGGTTAGGGCTGGGACACAGGCTGTTAGCAATCCTGTGCTGCAGCTTGCTCCCACTTGGCTTTATACATGGTTGATTACAGTGCAGCGGTTAGTGATTTGAGTGTCTTACTGATAAGGTCACTCATGACTTGACTGCCTGAGCGCTTAGAGAAGTGGTTCTTAATCTGGGGTGCACGCACCCCCTGGGAGTGCGAGATGCCCTTTCTGGGGGTGCGAGAGATGCCAGAGTTTGATGCTATAGCTTAGGTTTAAAGAACTGACCTACTTCAACGATGTTTAATAAGGGGTGTGAGAACATATTTTGAGAACCAACGGGGTGCAGGCTGCTGTAAGGTTAAGAACCACTGGCTTAGAGGGAACAGAGTCCTACAGGAATTCCTGGAGATGTCTCATCTATTCTTGGGAAACTTGCAGCCCTTTCAGCCCAGGAAGAAAGTACTTGCTTTCCTCATTGCATATCGCTCTGGGAATGAGGCAAAGGTGTCTAGCTTTACTCTAGGGTTTACTGGTCCCAGAAGGTTTCTCCCACAAGGTTCCTCTCTCTCAGCCTGTCTCCCTAGATAGCTTTGAGAATTGACTCCCCTTCTCCCACTGAGAAACCCTTTTTAACTCTTTAGTGATCTTTTGACCTCCAAGTTCCCATCCTGGTGAAACAAGCTGGCCATCTTCCTTGAAGACAGGATCCTTAACATTAACAGCTTTCCTGTTTGCTATTCCTCTGGGCTGTGCCTAGACTGGCCAGTTTTTCCAGAAAATCAGCCGCTTTTCCAGAAATACTTGCCAGCTGTCTACACTGGCCGCTTGAATTTCCACAAAAGCACTGACTTCCTACTGTCTGAAATCAGTGCTTTTTGCAGAAATACTATGCTGCTCCCGTTCGGGCAAAAGTCCCTTTTGCGCAAAACTTTTGTGCAAAAGGGCCAGTGTAGACAGCTGAGGTTTGTTTTGTGCAAAAAAGCCCCGATCGCGAAAATGGCGATTGGGGCTTTTTTTGTGCAAAAGCACGTCTAGATTGGCACGGACACTTTTCCACAAGAAGTGCTTTTGCAGAAAAGCGTCCTGCCAATCTAGACTCTCTTTTCCGAAAATACTTTTAATGGAAAACTTTTCCGTTAAAAGCATTTCCGGAAAATCATGCCAGTGTAGACGTAGCCCTGGTGTTAGATGAGGAGTAATATGGGAAATTCTAATAACCAACCATAGTCAGGCAGTAATTTTACCCTCCTGACCAGGTTACATAAAGAGTCGTACAGCTATGGCACCGCAGTGTTTTTAGAGTATTTAGCAATTCCACTCCATCACAGCCGGCGCCCCACGTCTATTATCTCTTGTCCCTGGGCTGCCAGCGTGATTCTTTATAGGAGTTGTTTTCAAAGCAAATCCGTAAAAAAAAAAATCAAAATCCGTGTCAATGTCTAGCCCTCACGAGCAATCAATGCTTACCGCAATTAAGAGGGATATAACACCGATTAGCAAAGGACACGGGCCACTCCCTCACTCTGAGAGGCAGCCCAAGTTGGGACTGAAATTCACACAGTTCTTAAAGGCCTTCTATAGCCAGAAAGGGTTAAACCATTCTCTGCAGAAAATGACACTATTGGTGGTAGCAGAGAGGGATGGCGTACAGGGCGCCGCCCTCCTTTTGCACTGTAGGGCACAAGACTTGTTTATACTGCTCTGCGTACTACTAGCAGACTTACCCAGTACTGCCTGGGTCCTTCGGGGCAGGGCCTTGGGGATGGGGGGTGGGGAGCTGGGGTGGCCACAGGGTGTGAGAGTGGGAGATGGGGGGGTGAGGAGGGGCTCAGGACAGGGGATCCCCTTTGCCCAGGGTGTGTACTCTCCCCTCCCAGACCTCCCCAGTCTGCCAGGGAACTAGTCTTTCCCTCGCCAGCCCATTAGGGGCCTGTTCTCTGCCCCTTGCCCCCTGGCCAGGAGCGGGGTAGGGTCTGGGGCAAGGGGGCTATTTTCTCAGAGTGCTGGCAGGCAAGATGGCGGAGCCCCAGCCGTGGTGGTGCAGCTGTCCTCAATGCACACTCTGCAGGATAGCTCTCCCTTGCCCGCTCACTGCTCCCAGTGACTACTCTGATATTACATCTCTTGGACCAGCCGTCCCTCCCTTTGCACGTTATGGAAAACAGTCCTTTTCTCGGCGCTTCCAACTGTCCTGGCACAACCAAACCCTGTCCTGGCTCTGAGTTAGGAGACGAGGAAGATGCATGCCAAAAGCGGTGGCCCTAGTTCTTACGTCAGGGGTAGCCGAGTTAGTCTGTACACGTTAAACCTAACAAACAACAAATTGGTAGCACTTTAAAGACTAACAAAACATGTCGATGAGCTCATGAGCCTTCATGAGCACAGCCCGCTTCTTCAAACTCCGGTCATCTGAAGAAGTGGGCTGTGCCCACAAAAGCTCATGAGTCCATCGACTTGTTGTGTTAGTCTTTAAAGTGCTACCAAACCATTTGCTGTTTTCTAGTTCTTACTGTTTAGGAGGGGTGCTTGAACAGACAGACTCACAGACAGACACACAGAAGACACTCTAAAACAGGGCTTCTCAACTTTGGAAGCCCCGGGGACCAATGATACTCACAGCACATGTGGAGGGACGCAACTTAAGAGTGGTTGCATGTACATGCAAATATATATGCAAATAGCTTCTTTCACACGGACCGGGCATGAATACAAAGCACTTCCCACAATGCTCCGAGACTTCCGGCACCACCTCCCTGGGGGCTAGAAATGCCGACACCCTGTAACAGTCTGTTCCAACCAGCCTGCCTGCTTGGGTCTTTCAGTGCTCACCACGCCTGGGAGACGCCTCGCCATTGTGGAGCGTGTTCCTGGGGAGGCTGTCATGTTACTGGATTTTAAGGGGAGATGCCAGATCACTGCTGCACCCATGGGGGGGGCGGGTATTTTCCCCAAAGTGTATACAAAGGGGGCCATGTGAGGTGTCACATGAAAGTCTCTGTTCTACTGATTCTGTCTATGCTATTCATGTAATTGTATAATATCTGTATGTGGAGTTATAAACATGGACTCTGTGTGGATGCTGGAAAATTTTCTGTCTGTGGCTGAGCAATGGGCAAGGAATGCTCAGGCAACAGCTATGCTAATTAGCAAGGAGACAACGAATTTCTAGGTGCCAATACACACCTCAGGAACGTGACTGATACTTGCAAACCAGCATGGATTGGTTGTTGGACAATGTGACCTTCTCTGGCCAAGAAGATACCAGGAAGGATATAAAATGCCATGTGGCACCCTCCATCTGGTCTTCAGTTTAGCTCCTGATCCCAGATGCAGCCTTGCAGGGAACCATGAGCTGGAAAGAACTGTGGACCCATCCTGACATAGGATGTGCACCAGAGTCTTTTAAGCCAGCAGTTTATAACATCTCTGCTAAGAACCTGCATCAGGAACCGGGTGATTCGATGCATGTAATGTATTCTCCTTAACAACCTCACTCTCACGCTTTTCTTCCTTTTAGTAATAAACCTTTAGATTTTAGATTCTAAGGACTGGCCCAGCGTGATCTTGTGGGTAAGATCCAGAGTGTAAATTGACCTGGGAACTGTGGCTGGTTTATTGGGACCGGGAAGAACCCGTTCGGGTAGGTGAGATCGGGTTCTATAACCCCTCACCTGTGTGCAGGCCCGGTGCTGATTGTGTCACAGGGAGAGCTGGGGTGTCTGAGGGGTTTTGCTCGTGAGGCTTCTGGCTGGCCAGATTGGCAGCTGAAGCGCTCGGTACGACTGGTTTGTGGCCTATTTGGGAAGGTCTCCAGTCTGGGGGCTAGAGAGAGCCCCAAGTTTGAGCAATTCACCCTAAGCGGATGCCCTCAGTTGTGCCCAGACCCGGCCCGGTCCGTCAAAGGATCCCACGGGCCATGTGTTGAGCCCTGCATAAACCCAAATCGCACTGCGGGCTGCAAACAAATGGGCCACGGGCCGCATGTGGCCCATGTGTTGAGTAGCCCTGCTCTAAAATATATATTTAGACCATACACAGAAATGTGAGTACACTATTTATATTGTAACTGATTTATTTGATAATTATATGGTAAAAATGAGAAAGGCAGCAATTTGTCTGTAATCACGTGCTATACTTCTGTAGTTTTGTGTCTGTTTTGCAAATTCTCACTGCACTACAGATAAAACTTTATTTGATAAAACTCTGTGATGAGGGTGAACTAGGCCTGATGCCCTCTGCTGGAGACTGGAGGCCTTACTGCACCCCGCTCCAAGGAAAAAACCAGAAAATAGGTCCTCCAAGAAGGCTAGAGTGGCTTCTTCTGCTGCAGCCAATCAGGGCCCAGCCGGCTGATATAAAAGAGGCTGCTGGGCTGGGGCCTGGCAGTTCCTTGCTGGAACTTGACCCGGTCAGGTCTAGGGCCTGACTGTGAGGACAGCAGCACTTTGGACAGTGCTGAGTGTGAGCTGAACTTCAGACTGGGTTGAGACCCAGGCCCAGTGGCTGAAGACTTGCTGCAATTGACTGACACTTTACAGAACCCTGGACTGGGTGTACTGCTTTTGCGGAAAAACTTGCCAGCTGTCTACACTGGCCGCTTGAATTTCCGCAAAAGCACTGACTTCCTACTGTAAGAAATCAGTGCTTTTTGCGGAAATACTTTGCTGCTCCCGTTCGGGCAACAGTCTTTTTCCCAAAGACTTTTGCGCAAAAGGGCCAGTGTAGACAGCAGAGATTTCTTTTCCGCTAAAAAGCCCCGATGGCGAAAATGGCGATCGGGGCTTTTTTGCGGAAAAGCGCATCTAGATTGGCCACGGACGCTTTTCCGCAAAAAGTGCTTTTGCGGAAAAGCGGCCTGCCAATCTAGACGCTCTTTTCCGCAAATGCTTTTAACAGAAAACTTTTCCGTTAAAAGCATTGGCGGAAAATCATGCCAGTGTAGACGTAGCCATACAGTATAACTGTCCCTGCTTTCTAGTCCATATCCCCTGCTGCCCTCATGTGGTCGTTATACAGTAGAACCCTCCCTTTCCATTTTATGAGAAACAACCACATTTCAGGCACTTCCCATTGTCCTGGCACAACCAAACCCTGACCTTGCTTTAAGTCAGGGGTTCTCAAACTTTGTAATATCGCAACCCTCTACAATTCTAAATGAATTTGTGTGACCCCCCCACCTTCACTGCTCCACGAGTAAAGGGGGAGTTGGGGGGTCGTTGGAGGCAGCGAGGCTGGCTGGGGGCTCCGTGCAGCGCTGCCCCTTGGAAAGGCCACCCTGGCGTTTCCAAGGGGCAGCACAGTGTTGCGCTACCACTCCGGCGCTTCAAAGAGGCAGCACATTGGGAGCCTGGGATCAGCTGGAGTCCCCATCTGACCCCAGGCTCCATGCAGTGCTGCCCTTTGACGCGCCAGAGCCGCACTTCAAAGGGGCAGCGCAGCATTAACGCCTGCGATTAATGCGTTATTTTTTTTAACGCGTTAATCCTGCCCTGCGTTAATCTCAGGCATTAATGCAGACACATTGACAGCCCTAAAAATTACATTGCAAAATGCTCAGCACTGGTAAGTAAAATGGTAGTAAAATTATTAGTTAAGGTAGCTAAGCAGGACTCAAGTTTCTCTCTATAAATTAGGGTCCAAAAGGAAGTTCTTTAGGGAAGATCCAACTCCAGGACACATCTCCGAGGTCAGAGCTGCCAGAACCCAGCCCCAGTTCCCCAGATGGACTGATTATGACCAGCCATCAAGTTAATCTGTCTTACTGGGAGTGGTCAGTACTGTATACTTAGAAAGCGCACTCTCTTTTTGGTGACTGTTAATTGAGGTTAAGTAAAGTATTATTGTATAAGGCTTTTTCACTTGTAAAAGATCCTGGAAACCCAGAGGTTACGCCTGAGCCCACGGAAAGGTGCCCCTAGAGTGAAGTGAGTGATAGAAAATTTTGTGTGGGGAACATTTGCTTCTATCGTGACTTTCACTGGAGTCTCCACGCACTTTTCCAGCCTTTTCCCTAAGTAATCGCAGCCCCTCTGTGGGGAACCGGAGACACACAAGTCATGTGACTTTGCCCAAGTTCACACAGCCAATCAGTAACAGAGCCGGAATCACTTTCTCTCTCCAGCTGACCACATTCCTTCACAGAAGTGGGAACTGAATTGGGAGTCCTGACTCCTATTCTCTGCTGCTTTAACCACGAATATCACTGCATAACCCCTTTGTTGCATTGGCATGGATCTAAGTACTCTTTACTCGGGGGAGCCTCTTTGTTAGCACAGAGACCACACTGGGGAAGGAGAACTCTTTACCTCTCACGTCATCTCTGCTCTGGATTTGCCCCATAGATGGAGCCCCCCCAGTCCTGGTTCCCATGTGGTGGGCTCTGCAGCTTTCTTGCTTGAACCTCCAAGGTCCTTTTGTGACTCATCAATAAGCATCATCATCCCAGGCACAGTCAACTGATGCAGCCACCAAGAGGTCTTAGCACTGTGACATAAGAGCATGAAACACATTTTGGGCTCTCCTTCCCCCAGACTAAGCTGCCTCCTACCCACCCGGAAGTAGAGAGCCAGCCTTGGAGTTTTGGGATGTAGAAGCTATTTTATGTTTAGCTAGAAGCCATCTTGTATATCAGAAACCATTTCAGCTTTTCTCTCAAGCACGTAAACCAAAGTAAACTTTCTGTCACCCCGTGAGAAGAGGCCTACAGAATGGGCTATTGGTATGTGTTAATTGGGCTGGCTGGAACAGGAGATGTACTCCCTCGTACCTGTCCGCCATCTTGTTGATAAGGCTTTGTTTTTCCATATTTAATTGATTATTTCTGTAACTGGATGCCCTGATGTCAAACTGTTTGGCTAAGGGTATAAAGATACTAGGATTAATTGTATTAGCAGCTTTACTGGGCCCGACTTTGCTGGGACCACGTTTGGCTCACTTTACTTTACTAATCCATAAAGCAAATCAGTTGTTAGCCGCCTAAACAGAGAGGAGCGTGTTTTTGCTTCAACAGGGAGGATCAGACAGGAGATTATTTGGACCGTCACATACTTATATTCATTTCATTTCAAAGGGCGGAATAGGGATCGGGTGTCTTTGATCCACCACCACCTGCTGCAAGGAAGCAAAGCCTGGAGACTCGTGGAGAATATGCTTTGCTGTCAATGTTTAAACAACTTCCAAGGGACAAGCCGGAGGTTTGGAGGTTCCGGGGTGGGGGCCGTGAACTCCGATTACTTGAGGCTGTTTTCCCTGCCTTTTCCGCCAGCGGCCAAGCAACGGAATGCAGAGTTGCCAGCGATGTGAGTGCTGGAAGCCCGGACACAGCAATCCCGCCCCACTCCAGGCACGGACGAGAACGAAGCGGCAAAGCCCTGGCACCTCTGCAACACTCGCTGGAGCCCCGGGGCTAGCAGCAGCTGAGCCCAGGGCTGGTGGGGGCAGCAGAGCCCCGTGGCCGGGAGGAGCCCAGCGGGGAGGCTGACCCCCCTCCCCGGGTCCGGCAAACTCCCTGGTCCGGAAGGTCCCAGGTGCCGGAGCAGGGAGGTCCCTGCAGCC